TTTGATTTATTTTAGATGATTATAAAAAATTATAAAGGAATCAACTCACGTAGATGATGTTATTTTTTGATTTATTTTAGATGATTATAAAAAATTATAAAGGAATCAACTCACGTAGATGATGTTATTTTTTTATTTATTTTAGATTATTATTAAAAATTATAAAGGAATCAACTCATGTAGATGATGTTATTTTTTTACTTATTTTACATGATTATAAAAAATTATAAAGGAATAAACTTACGTAGATAATGTTATTTTTTGACTTATTTTAGATTATTATAAAAAATTATAAAGGAATAAACTTACGTAGATGATGTTATTTTTTGACTTATTTTAGATTATTATAAAAAAAGTATAAAGGAATTAACTCACGTAGATGATGTTATTTTTTTACTTATTTTAGATTATTATGCAGGTACTACAGTCTTGTGTTTAATTTAAAGATAATGATCTTGTAGTGCTATATCAAATTGTCCAGGAAATTGCAGGTGCTGTGATGTTGTGTTTTATCTTATAAGATCAATTTGATCCTCAGTGGCTCTGCGGTATAAGTCTAAGGCCTTATAACGCTGAAATTCGGGTTTCGAAACTCTTCTTGGTCACAGCACAGATAGGCCCGGCACGGCCAGGTGATTAGGGTGCTCGACTCGCAATCTGTGGGTCGCGGGTTCGAATCCCCGACTCACCAAACATGCTCGCCCTTTCATCCGTAGAGGCATTATAATGTGACGGTCAATCCCATTATTTGTTGGTAAAAGAGTAGCCCAAGAGTTGGCAGTCTTTCACTACTAAGTTAGGGATGGCTAGCACAGATAGCCCTAGGGTAGCTTTGCGCGAAATTCGAAAAGAAACAAACAAACAGCATAGATAGCTCATTGTGTAGCTTTGCGCGAAATTCAAAAAGAAACAAACAAACAGCATAGATAGCTCATTGTGTAGCTTTGCGCGAAATTCGAAAAGAAACAAACAAACAGCATAGATAGCTCATTGTGTAGCTTTGTGCTTCACAAACAAACTACCATTTTGTGTCTGAATGTAGATGATAGGGAGTTAAATAATCGAAATCCTCTTATACAAAGTGGTTCTCACTTTTGAAAGTAAATTGAAAATTTGAGGTAAACGACAAATAAGAGATCAATGGAAATTTATTTTCTGTATGAATAGAATACTTTGTTCTAAGGATCATAGTTGATGGTTCACTTCTTTTTTTAATTATTACGGATATTTATATATATATATATATATAAACTCGTGGTAAACAAAAAAAAATGGTTATTTTGTGTTGTTTTTTTCAGACAGCAAGTAGACACCTTTGGTAGGTATACCATTTCTCCTATTACACTTCTTAAAACTTAAAATGACGACATATCTCATGATATTTATGTTTACGCTATCTATTTAAAACTTGGGGATAATCCTAGTACATAAATAACGACTGATTTCACTTACTTAGTTTACTTGCTCTGAGTGTTTGGAACAAGTAATTTCCAATTTATCGTTAGGATTTTAATTTGGTTTGGTTGTTATTAAGCATAAGGCCACACAATGGGCTATCTGTGCGCTGCCCACCATAGATATCAAAACCCGATTTTTAACGTTGTGAGCCTGCAGACTTACCGCTGACCCCCTACCATCAGCAGCCTGAGGGGCATCAAAAATTAAAAAAAAACGCTTAGCATCAGACACAAACTTGATTTCACATGCAATCTATACTTAATCAAAGAAGTTATTTTTGGGGAACATATTTTTACATTGAATGATTTGGAATTATATTATGAATTGATCCCAGCGCTGATCTCTCACGTAGAGGCTGGCTGCTTGGCAGGAGGTATAAGAGATTCCATTTGCTGATGTTGGTTGTGACACATATTTAAATGTTAAAAGTAGCCTTCTGATGTTATTGATAGCGTCAAAGAAAGATTATTAACTGCCATAGATCCAACTGAGCTGAAGAGTTCTAATGTTAAACGCTAGGTCTCCTGAGCCAGTGACTCGTGGCAAAAAAAAAGCAAAAACGGAATAAATATGGAATATTATTTTTTTACTCTGTCCTAGCTTAATATCCATAACTGGGTGAATCAGACGATGGTAAACAAAAACGTTCTGTTTTAAATTATTGTTTCGTCAAATTTTATGCCTAAACATCTATTAGTAATAATTAAACGTGTTCAACCTTTGCATGTTTGCCCCCAAGTGGCTCAGCGGTAAGCCAACAGGCCTACGACGCTAAAATAGAGTTTCGATACAAGTGGTGGGCTGAACACATATAGCTCATTGTGTAGCTTTGTGTTTAACAACAATTTTTTCCGTCTTAATTATCAATAAAAAATCTACCTTATCAATATTTCAGCCATATAGAAAAAAATCAAAATTAAATTGTTCAATACAACTTTTTATCTGCAAAGCAAAAAATTCTTGAAGAAAAATCAAAACATATCGGACAAATATTTATTCGATGTAAATAGTTTGTATAACGAAAGATTGAAAAAAACAACAAGCTATAAACTACTACATTTGGAGCAACTGTAGAAGACAACATACCAGAATTTGTTTTGAAGTTAAGCACAAAGCTACTCAAAGGGCTATCTGTGCCCTGCCAACCACGGGGTATCGAAACCCGGTTTCTAGCGTTATAAGTCCGCAGACATACCGCTGTGCCACTGGGGGGCCTTTAGAGCAAAGCCACATTGGGCTATCTGCTCTGTCCACCGTGGGAATCGAACTCAGTATTCTAGAGTTGTAAGTCCGTAGACGTACCGCTGTCCCACCAGAAGAAAAGGTACATAATATCTTCAGCTTCTCAAACCTAATACAAGATTCAAAATTCAATGACATTTTTAATGATTTATTATTTAACTTCTAAATATATATTTCGTGTTGTTAACTTTTCCAATTCTTCTTTTCAACGTTTCATGACCGTAAGAGTATTTCACTCTACCTTTTGTTCCCCGCTGGAACAGCGGCTAATATACGGACTTTCAACGCTAAAATCCGGGGTTCGATTCCCTTCAATAGATACAGCAGGCAGCCCAATGTGGCTTTGCTCTAAAACAAACAGACTCTCACCTACAATAATTTATGGGGCTGTAATCAATTTCCAACTGGATGCTGATCAAATTAATCAGTTTTGGCAAGACAGACAAATAATCTTGATGATGAAAAAAAAAGTTTTACTGTCTGACTGGCAGCTAAGTGGATGTGAAAAATGAATGATTAAAAATATCGGGATGTTTCCTAATGTCATTTGGAGAAGTTTCTTACAAATAACGACTTGTATACAAACCTGAAACCAAAGTGCACGATTAAATGATTCCTATGAACAAAGCGAAAGAAACCGTGTTGTGGAAAATTAAGCAACGTTTGAGACTAATATTTGATTACGTTGAGAAGTTAGGCTACGTTTAATATAATGATAGTTTGCAGCGTTAGTTGGTTGTTTAACCGATTATCTATACGATTATAGTAGCATCCACACAATTCGCTGTTGGGGTCGTGAATAACAGGGTTTTTTTGGGGGGGGGTTTGAAACATTGACACACCATCACATTCACAGGTTTTTTTTTTGGGGGGGTTGAAATGTTGAAACATTGACACACCATCACATCGTTAAATGTTTCTATACTTTAACTGATATGAAAATCTGAAAACGTGGTAGCACTAGCTCGTCTGATGGTAACAGGACCACATAATATCATTACGATGCAATATGATAATTATTTATCATTGTATTTCTGCAGTTTCTATTTTCCTATACCTTTACTATATTTATTTGAAAATTTAATACCTGCTCCACTTTAAGCTATTAAAGCTCTCACCAGGTGGAGTATGTTTATTGTGATATTTTACTAATGAGAATAAAGTAATGAAAAAATGATTTAATCATGTCAGGTTCAAAGCTCTATTTTAATTCGTGTGACGCTAAACTTGACATTCCTATGACGAAAGCCTTGAGGTTTGTGTGATGACAGTTCTGAGATTAATGGGACGAAAATTTTGAAGTTCGTGTGACGCAAGACCTTGATTAGTGTGATTAAAGCCTCGAGATTCATGCGACAAAAGTCTTAACGCTTGTGTGAAAAATTACTTGAAATTGGTATGACGAAAGCCTCGTGGTTCGTACGACGAAAACTTTAAGGTTTGTGTGACGAGAGACTTGAGATTCGTGTGACGCAAGATCTGTTGTTAGTGTGACGAAAGTCTTAAGATTGGTGTAACGAAATCCTTGAAGTTCATATGAAAATCGAAACTTTCTAAAAAGATACGTTTTTTTATATTCCATTTGTACTTCTTATGATACATAATTCTAACTAACGTGGCGACATGGGATGTAACGACGTGGTGAGACTGTAAAACAACTTTCTCAAACCGCTGTAATTATGTTTCCCCAAGATAGATAGATCTTACAACGCATGTTAATTAGAGTTAAATCAATATGCTTAGAAGTCGCTTAAGTTAATTAAAAATAATCCGCCTACATTTTTTCAAAACTGCATTCTTTTTGCTCTGTTTCTAGAAGCTTGGAGTAATTTAGGAAACTCTAAAAGGCTTAAGTATCGTCAAAGTTTCAACTTGACTGTTTTCATACAAAAATTAAAAAATCGTTCGCACTAAACGGAAACATTTAACTACATAATTTATAAGAGTAAAATGATAATAATACTCTAGTGAGTTTTAAATCAACGCCCACAAATTTCTCATTTCTTTCTACTGTGAAAAACTCTTGGAATAACGCGATAATATCATAAAATGGATTATTGCTTTGATGATTCGACGATATACGCCATTCGGCTAACACGTTCTAAATCGTTTTCCCACGTGTGTGGGTTTTAGTTTTGGTTTTGACTGTCGTAGTATAATAAGAACTCGCAAAGTAAGAAAATAAAATAAGGCGGAAAATAAAACAAGGATGTATCTATACCGGAACACAAGAAACTAACATCAATTTTTAAAAGAATTATTTTTTTCACACTGCTTTTATAATGTCAACGAGGTAATAATATGAACGTCATATCTTGCTAGAAGCTCACAAAGTAGATCATAAATATGAATATTTAGTCATAAGAACAGGATTTTCTTATTGTGTTTTTTTTTCAGCTCCAGTGTTTTAGGTTACAGTTACAGCATCCGGTTTTTAGTGTTACAGTCTACGAACAAGCTGGTTTAATATGCATATAAATATGAATTTGAGTCCTTTTTGTGTTTCATAAATAACTCATAATTTTCTTCGAGTCCATTTCCTTTTGCTTAAAACACCTTCATGATAATTAATTGACCTATTGAACTGTGTTCGATCTATATTTACTTTGCAAATTAGTTTTCAACTGATTATTGAACGGTTGACATATAGGCCTAGGTCCGATCCTCTTCGTATTGACGGTTGACATACAGGCCTAGGTCCGATCCTCTTCGTATTGTCTTTCATATTTTCAAGGCTCGGCATGGCCAGGTGGTTAGGGCGCTCGACTCGCAATCAGAGGGTCGCAGGTTCGAATCCCTGTCACACCAAACATGCTCACCCTTTCAGCCGTGGGGGCGTTATAATGTCACGGTCAATCCCACTATCCGTTGGTAAAAGAGTAGCCCAAGAGTTGGCGGTGGATGGTGATGACTAGCTGCCTTTCCTCTAGTTTTACACTGCTAAATTAGGGACGGTTAGCGCAGATAGATCTCGTGTAGCTTTGCGCGAAATTCAAAAACAAAACAAACATATTTTCAAAAATTCTAACTAAAACGTCCTTTCACTGACCTGAAAAGGATTTTGTACCGAATGACCCAAGATTGATGTCTTTTTCGTCTTCTCGTCGCCAGAAGATTTTGGGTTTCGGGTAACCAGTGGCCGTGCAGTGTAGGCTGACAGAGGACCTTTCATTGACTATCATGTCCGAACTTGTTCCATTATCTTGAATTGTCGGAGGCACTAGATATATAAAATCAACGAAACGTTAACATTCTCAGTGCGCAGCAGAGAAAATGTTCATGAAACAAGATCGTTATGTCCGAAAACGGTCAGGTTTTTCTATACCAGTTTAATGGTGACTTAAAAAATTCTTTAGCTTGGATCAGAGGATTTATACAAATCATTTGAATAGGGTAAACATTTTCATAAGTTATTTTTAGCAGGTATGGTGCATTTTATTGTTTATTACTTATTTTGATGTGTTTTGTTGCCCCATCCCCCCAGTGGCTCAGCGGGTTTCGAAACTCATGGCGTACTCAGCACAGCCCATTGTGTTGCTTTGTACTTAACAAGAAATAAACAGTGTTTTATTATGTGTTTTGCCCAGTATGATATTGTACATTCTTCGGTTTTAAAGTCCTGATAATGGAATAATTTTGTGCTTAACAACAAATGAACAGTGTTTTGCCCAGTATGATATTGTACATTCTTCGGTTTTAAAGCCCTGATAATGGAATAATTTTGCGCTTAACCACAAATAAACAGTGTTTTGCCCAGTATGATATTGTACATTCTTCGGTTTTAAAGCCCTGATAATGGAATAATTTTGCGCTTAACCACAAATAAACAGTGTTTTGCCTAGTATGATTTTGTACATTTTTTGGTTTTAAAGTCCTGACAGTGGAATAATTTAGTGGAACCTTATGACATATAGTATTACTCCGCAGTTCTTTTCACGTACATATTGTATTACTCCGCAGTTCTTTTCACGTACATATTGTATTACTCCGCAGTTCTTTTCACGTACATATTGATTATTTCTCAAAATACGCTCATGGTATAATTTGGAATGACGTAAAAGAAACACGAAAATCGTTAGAATAACGTCTTGAAATATCACAATTTTTATAAATCATAAACAAAAATGATGACGTCGTCATTGGAAGAAGAGTATTTGTGTCTCTTTCTTTCAAGCTTAGCCAATTTATATTAAAAGAATCCATTCAGGGGAACAGAATGGTATTAGATAGATAGAAATATTACATATGAAAATATAACTTCCCATTCACATGCATGTAGTAACTCAGGAAATGTTTGTAGTTCAAGACGTATCTGTTATGATTAGTTCATTTTAAACGACGCACAAGGAAAGGAACTACACTACCTGAAAACAAAAAAGGAAAAATGTAAATCTAATAAACAACGCCAATTTCCAAATTATTAATGAAAATAACAGAATAATTGCGAAAAACTGCGAAATTAAAAAAAAAAAAGATAACTTTAGAAAATGCCAACACAGATCGAAACCGATTTTAATACAAAGTTTACGTTTATGAGGAAGTCTGAAGAACCATGCAACCTTTAGAATTTAACAGGAAATAAAACAGGATTATGATACTAGTACAAATGGAAATCAAGGGTGTACTCAGGACAGTTTGTTTTGTTTTGTTTGTTGTTGTTGTTTTTTTTTAAATTTCGCACAAAGCTACATGAGGGCAATCTGCACTAGCCGTCCCTAATTTAGCAGTGTAAGACTAGAGGGAAGGCAGCTAGTCATCACCACCCAAGTAGCCCAAGAGTTGGCGGTCTTTCACCAACGAATAGTGGGATTGACCGTCACATTATAACGCCTCCACGGCTGAAAGGGCGAGCACATTTGGTGTGACGGGGATTCGAACCCGCGACCCGCCTTAACCACCTGAACTAACTATCTTATAATAATCTCAATAACATTAATTAGTATAATAATATTGTGTATCTATAAAATCTCAGTTTTTATTTTATGAAATATAAGTATAATATTTATATAATATAATATTATCATAAGAGTTGTTTAATTTTTTTGGATACGTATCACCTACTCTTACCAAGAATAATTTTATGATAATAATTATAGGAAAATTGAATAAAACTGCACCAGTAATGATAAAATTTTAAAATAATGGGAAATAATATATTTTATAAAAAATGCCACGGGCCCTCACAGATGCTGAATCCGGCACAAGTGCAGGAGGGAGGGGCCTAAAATGTATGACGTACTGACGATCTTGACGAATGATATAAATAACAAAAGTGGTAATATTTAAATATGCCAAAAATGTTTAGATTTGCTGGAAGATTCGATTTGTTTGAAGTTAAGCACAAAGCTACACAATGGGCTATCTGTGCTCTGTCCATCACGGGTATCGAAACCAGGATTTTAGCATTATAAGCTCCTCAAGCTTACCGCTGATCCACTGTGTCACACATACTTCTGAGCAGCTAGTGTAAAAACATATATACACACATCATGTATACTTAACTATATACCAAAGTTCCTATATCATCTGCTTACTTGGTTTGTCGACCCAAAAAGATAACTTATATATACATTAATATACAGTATAACTTTATATATGTCTATACGTGATTTTAACCAGATTAAAAACTTTGAGAAACTAACTTCTCAACAATTCCATTAACATAACTTTTATATATCCTTTAGTTTTCTACTTTCATGCATTACTTAAAGTAGAAATCAAGACGACAGTAATAATGAACTATTCGCTAATTATAGATTAATGGTGTTAATTGATCCTTTGTAAATTGGTTGTTTAAGCCTATGAACTGTTTAGAGATAATACCATTAAACACCACTAGATGAAAATATTATACAAAATGATTAAATGATAATCGAAATTTGTGGTGTTACTATGACAAGGCAGACCCATGATGTAAAATAATGCTAATCTCCATCATTGGTATGCAACTCCAACATCTAATGACCAGTAAGTGATCTGAAGAGTAAATGAATGATATATATATATGCAAGGAAACAGGCAGTCATGTGAATATCTAACTTTAACATTTTCATCACGTCATAACTAAAGTATATAATGTCCAACAACATTGGTATATAACTTGTGTATGTATGTTCTTCTGTCTCGTAGTCGCCGGAGTGAACAAGAGACGAGAGGGTGGGATGTGTTCGTAGATAATCCTGCCGAAGACGAGGACCTCACACTAACTTCGAAGGCCGTCGAAATCGTTCTTAAAATCGTCAAAATTTTTGTTTATATCTTCACTCTAGTTTCTGTAATCACAACAGCAGTCATTTCTAAGGGAAGTATGCTGTTCATGACCTCCCATATTAAAGAAGGTCGAACACTTCCAGTTTGTAAAAAAGGATTGGGTAAGCATAAAAAGGAACGTCACAAAACGTTTTTGTTATTATAGAAATTAAAGGAAGCGTTAGCGATTTAAAACAAAATAGAGAGGACTAATTAAGTGTATAAGAAAAAATATAATATGCCTACATTGTTTTCGTCAACTTTTGAAATATAATAAAAATACATAAGTGATATAAAGTTGAAAAGGATGTGAAGAAGAAATTCAATGTGATATAAAACTCTAAAGTTCATTACTATAAAAACTACTTCGTTAAAGATTTGACATTTTGTCTGACTTTAAAAGAAATCATTAGCTAGCTCAAAATGTTTGATTATTTATTCTTCTTGTCTACTAGATGAATTGCATAAATTAATTTCAAGGTTTTTTTTTTTTAGTTTTAGGTGCGGATTAATTATTGAACTCGTTTATAATTACTTATACTTTTCTTAATGTGAAGACTGTCTTTAAAATGATGGGTGACCAATATGTTGAGTAGGATGGTAAAATAATTATAATCTAAATAAAAATGCGTCTTAATTGATTAAAAGTTAATTACAATTACAAAAAAAAATCATTAAATTTAAATTTTTGTTTCCCTTTGTATTCAAAAGAATACAATACGATTTTGTATCACGACCCGAGTGAGTTCGAAAATAACTTATGACATAATACAACTGGAGTCGTCAGTTCGCTGGAGCTTATTAAGGTAAAAATTTTAAACTTAATGTGATATAAAAAAATAATTGTTTAATCTAAACATCTTTTACATATTAAAATAAATGCTATTTTAACCATACTTTGAAGTGATAACATGACTAACATTATGTTTTATTGAAGCACGTCTTCTTTTTTGTTTTGTGTTTTTTGTAGGTCTAGAAAGAGACAAAGATTACAAAGTGCAAATACCGGAGGTGGAGAGAGTCGCATGGATATGGTGTCTGTTCTTTGTGATGATAATTCCCGAACTTTTTACTTTTTCCGTAGCTTCAGGATATGTGTGTTCAAGTCCTACAGAAGACCCAAGATCCTCACGTTTCTTTTGGTATAATGTAGTTTTTAATTAGTTAATTTTTGAAAATTCTGTATAAAATATAGTCTTTTAAATACCAAAATCCTGCCCCCCCCCCCTCCCCAGTGGGTCGATACTCGTGTAGGCAGAGCAGG